TTGTCTTTCTTTAAAAAAAAAAGTACATTCTAAGCAACTAAATAGTTTAAACAAGATTGCAGAAGACATGCTGAACTTACTCAAGGGGTCAGATGTAATCGCTCTGTTTAATTTCAAAAATACTTTCACTTATTCCTTAATAGATATTCCAAAGTCTGACTCTTACTCAACCTCTGGCAAAACTAACTGGGGTTACTTTGTATTTTAGGAAAGTAATAATGTTATATTTCTTCGTCTTCCATAAAATTAGTATAAATGGGTGAGATTTTTACAATATACACACAGAAAATCACATGTACATTCTACTTTGAGTATAAAGAAAAAAAATACTTGTCACTTAACTTCTAAAATGCTTTTGATTATAATAATCCTACTTTTCCCATTTTTTTTCCCTGATCTTCCCTTGTTGAAAGTTGTCAAGACAGCAGACTAGGCCTGCACCCTACTGATGCCAAGCTAAGAGTGTGAGAGAGCCACTGCTGCACGTGGGCAATGGGTTGCTGGCCTAAGACAGCTGGTCCTGAGACTAGATTTAATGCTATTCAAAAGCATCAACTTAAAGTATTTAGGAAGGAGCCTTCTGACATAATCGTCATTAGTCAGACACACTTCTATGATCAGCAGTTTTTAATGATATCCTGTTATCCAAATATTTATTAGTCTTGTCAATATGATTACACAAGTCTTCAAAAACAATTCTGATTTTTAAGTGGATGATTCAAAAATATTACATACTGACCGATCCTCATGAATGAAAATAAAAGACTGCAAATTTAGGTGTGAATAAAATGATAATGAGGTATCACTCTAAATCTGTAACAGTGGTGAAAAAGACAAAACTGACCCTGCCCGTGCTGCCTGATGAGGATGCAGAACTGGAGTCTGCACGGTCCCGAGGGAATGCCTGATGGTACAGACGCTTGGGAAAAGAGTTCGGCAGTTTCTCGAACAGTTAAACGCACTTGGCACATGACCCAGCAGTTACAGTCCTAGGATTTGCTCAAGTAAAACGACAAATTCTTTCTAAACAAAAAGCTTGTAAGTGAATGTTTACAGCAGATTGATTCCTATTTGTCCCAAATTGGGAACTATCCATCCACTAACTATTGACTGGATAAACAAACACAGCTCTTTCTTACGGTGGAATAGTTCTCGGCGTCAGATGGAAGGAACACCTGATACGTACAGCAGCAAGAGCAGTCCCAGACTCCCTATGCTAAAGGAAAGAAGCCCAACTCAACAGGTGGACACTGCTCAACACTGTTCTAGAATGTCATATAACTGCATACTGTTCAATTATATGACACTTTAGAAAGAGAAAAACTAAGCTGGGCGTGGTGGCTCACACCTGTAATCCCAGCACTTTGGGAGGCTGAGGCGGGTGGATCACAAGGTCAAGAGATCAAGACCATCTTGGTCAACATGGTGAAACCCCGTCTCTACTAAAAATACAAAAAAAAAAAAAAAATTAGCGGAGTATGGTGGCGCGTGCCTGTAATCCCAGCTACTCGGGAGGCTGAGGCAGGAGAATTGCCTGATTCCAGGAGGTGGAGGTTGCGGTGAGCCGAGATCGCGCCATTGCACTCCAGCCTGGGTAACAAGAGCGAAACTCCGTCTCAAAGAAAAAAAAAAGAAAAAAAGAAAGAAAGAAAAAGAAAAACTCTAAGGGTAGAAAACAGCAGTGGTTGCTGGGAGTGGGGTTGACTGGAAAGGGGCATCAGGGAATGAGTGATGGAATGACTTACATATTGATTGTGGTAGAGGTGGTGATGTCAGACTTCGTAGAATGCATGCCTGAAAAGGATATGCCTCATTGTATGTAAATTTTACCTCAATAAACCAGTGTGGTAGCATGAAGAAAAATAAGAGTTTAAAATATGTATATTCTTTGCTTGTACAAATGAAGGTCGAAAGCCTCACTATCCCTGCGGCGGAGACAGGCTAACTTCACCGTCAGCTATGATCAGGTCAAGGCTACTGTGTTACCATGGATACAAGCTCTTACTCTCTTTTGTACGAAGCCTTTAATATTATTAAATTGTGATTCACATGGTCCAGGGGTAAACTCGGACACATCCAGACAAAGTCACTCGAGGGATTTTCCTCGAGTTTTAGGAACCCTGCCCACAATGTTTCTTCACGAACACATGGCAAACTGTGTGACGTCAGTGAACATGTCCTTAAGGGGTTAAAGAAAGAAAGATTAGAAACTTTTTGGCTAAAGGCTGGAGGCAATTCCAAAAGCTCTCAGCTAGTCCTGAGGTCACGAAGGCCCTTTCTTGTTTTGTTGTTATAGAAATAACACACTTAGACTGGAAATGGTGACGTGTGGGAGGCTGAACCCTCCTGTCTCTGTCATGTTTCATGTGAAACCATGATGTTCTGATTTATGAAGTAGACGGTGGGGAGACTGAAGGAAGGTGTTAAAGCCAGGCTCATTCTTTGTGGCGAGCAAACTGTGGTGACTTCCTCACACACGGTAGGTCATGATAGAAACAAGACTTTAAAAAGCACCTGTATGTTACAACTCTGCTAAAGATGTTCTGCCGCACAGACAGTCATGCATCCGCCTAACAACCAGTAAGCATAAAACCCACAGCGGCCACCAGGGACCCAGTGCTTTCTGCAGGCTGAGGAGGCACCGCACGCACCTCTCGGGCCTTGGCTCTCCCACTCCCCACATTGCTCTTCGTGATCTAGGCTCCCGCGAAGCCCAGAGCTCCCAGGGCACCATGCTAGCCTTGCCTCCAGGCCTTTGTCTAGTCATTCCTTCATTTGACACAGATATTCTGACTGTCTACTATGTGTCTGTTATGGATTGAATTATAGCCCCACCCCCGGCCCCAAATCCAAATGTGGAAGTCCTAGTTCCTACTACCACAGAATGTGACCTCATCTGGAAACAAGTCCTTGTAGATTTAAGTAATTAAGATGAGGTCATACTGGAGCAGAGTGGGCCCCTCATCCTATATGAACTGTGTTCTTATAAAAAGACATTCAGACACACACACACACACACACACACACACACACACACGGAGAGTGACAAGCGATAAGGAAGGCAGAGAGCAGGGTGTTGTGCCAAAGACTACCAGCCAGCCTCCAGAAGCTGGAAGAGAGGCAGGAGTCAGAGTCTTCCTTACAGCCTCAGAAGGAACCAACCCTGCTCTTGGACCCTAGGTCTTGGCCTTGCAACCTTCAGAACTATGAGACAATACATTTCTGTCTCAACTACATTTTTAGCTACATAAAGTACGTTTCCTACCGACAAGGAGATTCTGAAAATATATGAGAAGCTCCATTAACTGAATCCCTTGTTCAGGAGGACGGCTCAGGTGGTGATTTGAAACACTGCTCCTTTGTGGATCAGGCACGTGGCTCCTCAGTGCTTCTGCAGCCGTGACCAAGCAGCTCGCCCTTGCATTCTGACTTCTTTTAGATTTAGATTGAATCTGCAATAACCTAAAAGACTGTACTTTTAAAGCAATTGGGATAATTGTTTCTGGAGGGAAAAAGGGAGAGTTGTATAAAGCGTGACATAGTGGCTTTTGGGCTAGGTCTGCTGTCATGGTCTTTGGGGAAATCGACAGCCTCTCATCTTGGCAAGGGCGCTGACAAACACCCAATGTTGGGGCATATGGACAACCCCAGAAGCCTCACACAGCAGCTGTTACATCGATTTCCAAGTACAGGGACCTGAGCAATGACTGTAATGACATTTTCCTGGCTGGCTCTGACCTCTGAATCTCACTGATTAGTCTAACACACACTGTGAACATCAACCAGTTAGGACTCCAAGCCAAGACTCAAAAATTGCTTCAAAATGGCAGGAGATGTTTAAGACATAATTTGTGTGGGTTGGTCACGAACTTGCTCACTTCCCGATGCATGATCCGCTTTTATACTCTCCCTCTCAATTACTTTCCCTGCGAGGCTGATGGTTCTGTAGTTGTTAGCTCTAATCACTAAGACACTTCTGCAGGCAATTCATGCTCTGGATGTTACAGAGCAGTCAGTACGAATGAGGGAATTAAAAAAATTCGACTCACTGTATCTTCTAACTTTCCATCCATCATTCTACTTACATTTCTCTTCTTGAAATAAAAGCAATCTTTTTTTCAGAAAATAATATCAATTGGATTTGTATATTCAGAGGGGTAATTAACAAATACCCAAGATGATAATTTATGCTCTATGATTTTCAGGTGACTCAAAGGCCCAAACGCCTTAAGAATATCAAGTACCAATTGACGTTTTCAGATACAAATCTGCCTGGGAATCTTTGATTCTATTTCCTCATTGCCAACAGTCAGATTTTCCTCTCCTGTCAACATTTTATTTCCCACAGTACATGCTCCTTTTCCCTACTCCAAAGCCCTCAACTTTCATTTCCTTTCAACACTTGCCATAAATACACATCTTTAAATTCAGTATGGCAGGGTGAAGTCTGGCACTCTTCAACAAAAACACCCTGTTTCTAAGGTACCCTAAAATTCGGATGCCTCATCTATTCCATGAACAAACATTTCTGAAACATGTAATGTGCTCGTAGCACCTGACTAGATCCTAAGTGTAATATAGGAAAAGTGAAACAATACCATTTACATGTATACTAACCTTGAAGACAGACAAACTGCTTTTGTAAAATCAGTTGTCCTGCTTTGAACTTAAAAGTTCTGAGATTATGAAACGCCTGTATCATGATCGGCAGGGGTCTGCTAGGTGTTTGCCATGGGCTATGTTTCACATGCAGCCTTTCAATCTCCTCAATCCAAATCATTCTCCCGTATTTCCTACCTCCGGGGTGATTTCTTCAACATCTTTTATGGCTTGGCTTTTCTCCATTCTGTCCTTTCACCAACAGTCATTAGCACTTTTCTTTCCTAGGAGTGTACCTGTTGGGCTGTCATTTCTTCTGCACCCTTCCCAGCACACACTGCCTTTCCCTTTTCATTTAACACACACATCCCTTTATCTCAAAAAGCCACCGGGCCGGGTACCTGCTGCATGCCTTGCATGGTCTGCTGCAGGAACTGCAGCTGCTGGTCCTTGGTGAGGTTTTCTTCTGTTCGGAAAAGCTGCTCCTTCTCTTGTTTCAGGAGCTCCACCTCGTTCCTGTAGGCATCCAGCTGCCAGCGGAGACTGTCATTCTCCTCTTTCAGAGCGTAGGCCTGAGCGGCCAGGGCTGGAGGGCAAACACAATGAGTTCAAGTGAGCTACCTTCTTGCTTAGCTTGAGGAGGCCTTCTGTGGGAAAGGGATTCTGTCACCCACGTTCTTAATGTCAGAAATAAAACCAAAATCCCTTACCCCAGTGCTCTTTATTTTGTAGTCGGGATGTTCACTTCTCTTGGAATTTTTATCTATTCTGTTTGTCCCGCCTTAGGTATGAATGTTTCTTATGGGTGTGGGATCAATTCCTCCCAGATTCTTGTTCCTTCACCTCTCCCTCAATGCTAGATGCCCTCACAGAAATTGGTATGTGGTGCTAGGTGGTGACAACATTCAGAATTCCAGGCAACAATCATGTCTACTAAATATCGTCTTCCCCCTTTCTACAGGATTGCTTAGCTCCTTGGAGCTCTTTCTTTCAAATAATCAGCAGTTCTACAGGTTGAGACATGCTGTAGCATCCTGCGGAGGGAGGAATTTAAATGCACACCATTCCTTCCTGCTCTGCTGCTGGGACAAATTGCGCAGATTGTTTTTCTCTAACTCCTATCAGAATGGAAATCTAGTTCCATCTGTTTCACCAACAAATTAAAACTCTTTTCCTCTACAAGGCTGAGTGGTTGCTCCAATACCTCTCCCTGAAACCCCAAATTCTCCATGTTTAGATTCAGACTTCATTGATATGTCCATCTTATTAAGAAACCAAGACAGTTAACTCAGGGTCTCATGCATCTCAAGGCTTCAGAAATAGCAAAACTGAAAAAGAGAATGAAGGGTACAAAACAGATTGAGAGGACGGAATCCCTTTTTCTAGTTTCCACCTTATTGCTTAGGGGTCTCTCTGAGAATCATCATAGCCTGCTGAGTACTCACGAAGTACTGGGCCAAGAGCTTTGTATGAACTCACTCCCTTCATCCCCCATCAAGCCTATGATGCTGCTCTTATATCCACCCTTACCGATGACAAAAATGTGGCATAGAGAAGTTACATAGTTCGTTCAGTCCCACAATGTAAGTAGCTGAAAACCTTCACACCCAGGCTGCCGGCTCCAGAGTCTCCACTCTCGATTATCATCGATCCATGTGTGTTTAGTTCTTTCCAGGCTGTTCAAAACCAGCCTCATATTCCCCCACCTACTCTCCCACCAGTCTCCCTTTCATCTTCCGCCTCACAGAAAAGTCATTCCCCACTTTGCTAAGCAAGAGAAAAGTGAAAGAAAGTGTGAAACACTTGTTACCAGAAACTTCACACAAGTAACTTCCAGTACGTCAGGGCATGGCGCAGGCCCACTGCACACCAGGGGTCAGTCACGCCCGTCTCCAGCCCCTGTGCCCCGTGTCGGAGGACCAAATCAAGGTCAGCCTCCTGGGTGCTTTTCAGGGCATGGCGCAGGCCCACTGCACACCAGGGGTCAGTCACGCCCGTCTCCAGCCCCTGTGCCCGTGTCGGAGGACCAAATCAAGGTCAGCCTCCTGGGTGCTTTTCAGGGCATGGCGCAGGCCCACTGCACACCAGGGGTCAGTCACGCCCGTCTCCAGCCCCTGTGCCCCGTGTCGGAGGACCAAATCAAGGTCAGCCTCCTGGGTGCTTTTCAGGGCATGGCGCAGGCCCACTGCACACCAGGGGTCAGTCACGCCCGTCTCCAGCCCCTGTGCCCCGTGTCGGAGGACCAAATCAAGGTCAGCCTCCTGGGTGCTCTACCTGCATATTACAGTTCATGGCGATAAAGCTTTTCCAAGGTGCTCTGAGACCACAGTGAATTCTCTCCTCAAATATCAAACATCGAATTATGTTAATAATAGTTTTACAGTCGAGTGTTTCACACTATTCCATCTTACAAAATGATAATCTCTGTGTAGAACACACGGAACTACTAATCAAACAGAACATGCAATTACCCAGAAAATCCCCTACCTCAAGCCAGTAGGGATCAATTACTTAACATGTATTTACTTCATATTTACCTGTGCTCAGGTCTGTGTCTGCACCTCAGACCACAAAAAGAGGAGACAGTATATACTTCTCTCAAAGAGCTTAAAAACCTAGTAAAACTGACACATTTAAAAAGAAACTATTGCTTTCAAAGGAAGAAAGAATGGTGTGATGTCTGGAATACATTAGGCACTCAATAAATGCTTGTTGAATGAATAAATAAATGAGTCAAGATACATGACCAAAAAAATGTATCCTATAGGAGTTCAGAGAAGAGAAAGGAAAATTCAGACTGAAGGAATAAAGGAGGGCTTTGAAAGATGAAAAACCAAAGAACTTGGGAAGGCTGTCTCTCAGGAGCCAGAGCACAGGCAAAAGCCCAGAGATGAAAATCAAAGGTAGAATCCTTGGGGCAAGATGGAGAGAAACCTGACCCAAAGGGCAAGTGTTTGCCTGGAAGCAGTGAGAGAAAGGTGAGCCCTGTCAGGCGATGGGAGAAGATGGGGAAGGTTAGGTTCACCGGGGCAGCCAGTTGAGAACCACTGACAGCACCTGGGGTAGTGGAGGGACATGATGCAAATAGATTCAGGAACATGAGTTTGGCAGTGGTACATCAACTGAAGGCTGAAGAGAATGAAAAAAGGAGATTTTATTGGTGTATGTGTGTACAAAACCAAGCAGCAGGCACTTGTACAGTGTTTAGGGACTTAGTCATAAAATCAGAAATTATCCAGCACGTACCAGCAGCATGAGCCAGTGCTTTTGAACGTTATGTAGCCTAACTCCGGATCCTGTCCACACCCTGAGATACCAGCTCCTGACAGCCCCGTTCACCAAGCCATAAGGAAATGGTTATGAGGAATCATTTGTGGGAGGGATGTTTTAATAGGGCAAAATCACAGAAAATGCAAATGATGAAACAGTGTTGGCCCTACACGGGCACATTACTACATTTAGTAGCATTCAAAGACACTTAAGTCATTTCCTTAGGAAGCGCTATTTGGCCCTTTTTCAATTCAGAGTGGCATTTTTATTATCATAACTGATAGCAGGTGTTTGTGAAGAAATCGATTAGTATGCAGGGATGGAAATTACATTTTCCAAATGAATTGCATAGTCTGCAAGATATGCCGAGATCTGTGTAGCAAAACGGAAGCAGCTATAAAGCATGTGCCAGCGGCATTATTTAAATAAATTATCTGAACATAAACACATACAGGAAGTGTACCATCCATTATTTTAGGGGATCTCTTACAAACCTATGGAATGGCACTTCTGAGAGTTCTTATTCTCGGCTAAGCCGAGTGACCGGAGTGCCTGCCAAGCAGGATGTAATGCTCTCTGGCTCCTGGAATATGAATGCAGTATCACTATACACATGTATGCATACGAAGACAACAGCTGTACTTCTTCCACCAAAATTAAAATCCATCAATACCATAGCAAACCCCATCATTTTTATAATTGGGGCATATAACTGATTTATTTCCTGATTAAATGGTTTCAAGCTTGATTTTTACAAAAAAAAAAAATTGTTACTCATGTGGCAGCAAGTAGTTGTCTTCAAAAGGGTGAGAAATTTTATATCGACTCCACTCAGCTTCAGGCCACCTGTTTGCAAACAGCACTCAGTGTCTTACTGCAGCCCCGAATCTATTCCTCAGACAAGGCTGCCTGGAAGAGGCTATACTATGTTTCTTGGGCCAGAGCTCTAACAGAAAAAAATCGTAATAATTTCTGACTCAATATAATTTCTCAGTGTGTTAAAAATTCGGAAATTGGAAAGGGCAACTCTTTTCTCTCTTTCTTTTCTCGTTAGTTCTTTCTGGAATACTATACTAACGAGTTTTGAAAAACGTGTCATCAAGCTTCCATGATAAAATTTACCTTATGAGCCGGCACAACAAGTCCACTATCCAAATAAGCATAAGGATTTTTTAAAAAGTGCAGTGTGAATCTTTTGGTAGAAATTCCTAAGGAGTGTGCCAAGTGCCAGTAGATATGATATCTAAGAGACACCCCATGTGGATTACCAATTTCCAGTAATAAATGAAGAACAGAATCAGACACCTTACATGTAAACTGAACATGATTAAATATTTTTTGGTGATTTTCAGCGTACTGCAGAATCTAGTGGTTCCTCTGGCTCACCATCGATTACATTAACAAACTACCCGTTTATGTATTGATTGAGAAAACATGGCGAGGCGCTGTGGCTTTCACAGGCAGCTTGAGGCCGGTACAGTCATCCTTTTCTGCTTAGTACTTGAGAAAAATTCTGAATACTGGAATGTTACCATTGGATCAAAAATGAAATAACAACATTGGAAAACTTTCACTAGGCAAGGTAGTTATACTTCAAAAATTAGCACTGGATAATAAACCAACCGAAGTGACACCAGTGTATAAATCAGTCCAAAGACGGCACTGTACCCCTCAAGAACAGGCTTTAAGGTATTGTAGGACCTGGTTATATTCTTTACTAGATTCTATATACACTATTATTCTTTATATTAATTATGGTCAAAGTGACCTCTTCTTTCCCCTGTCTTACTGTGTTTCCATGGGAACAGATAATGGCATGCTTAACTTCTTTAAGTAAACAATCTGGTGAAAACCTTGAAATCTCTTTTACCAGCCTGAGCCAGCCTCAGAGAAACAATTAGCAATATATGAAAAGTGTAAGTTATTTTGGGTTATGTCCCAGTAAGCTGACAGTCTGTTAATATCTTCATGCTCAGGCAAGATGTAACTAAATGATAAAACATTTTAACATACTGCTTCTAACAATATCCGTGTTTCTCCAGAATGGTTCGTCTTGGTGTGTTTGGGGAACTCTGTGTTTAATATTCCCCCTCCGCTTTGCCAGATGTCCTCCCGAAGGGCTGGAGGGACACCGCTGAACTGCGGCTTTCCTTCCCACCTGCAAAGAAAGTCCTTCTCAAGGATTTCACTGGCTGCTGCCCAGGCAGGCAGTTGTACCGACAGCCCCTGAGCACGGGAGGACGGAGGCAGGCTGCAGGCCTGGCAGACAGCACCACAGCATCTCTGTGCCGTCAACAGCTGCCTCCTCAGCCACAA